CACACACACACACACACACAGAACGCAATGTTGGTGTTTGCGATGACAGAGAATGAAAAATAACTTAAACGTGACTCTAGACTGGACATAACCTAAATTTGATTCGAGAATGGAGTTTCAAATGCTCACACTTGGTTAACAGTTGCATTAGGAATGAGGTTGCAATATGAACCTTCAGAGAAAGAGGGTCACAACCGCTCATTATATGAACACAGCAAGCTGGGGGACTGGTTCGCAGAAAGCAACCCACCTTAGGTTACTAGAGAAAAAAAAAAAAAATGACACTCCTACATGTTTTTGGTAGGACAGGTCATGGTGGTATTTCTGGGGACCTACAATTGAAGAGAGATATTTTTGACTTTGTACACTGCAGTAGTGTTTTATTTTATTTATTTACAGTGAGCAGGAGTTTGCTTTTATAATCAAAAAAGGGAGAGAGAAGAGAGCCAGGCACGTACTTTGAAAACAGTGACGCTAGTGAGAGTACAGACAAGCAGGAAGTACCCACTGGCCTGTCTTCTGGACAATCGGTCATGCGGGCAGACAAAAAGGACGCCCTATGATCTGCCCCAGGAAGTGTACTTCTGGATTGTGTGTACCCAGGAGGGAAAAAAAATAAAGGAAAATCAGAAGAGAATTCCTGTGTTTCAGTAGAAGGTGTCTGTGACCATTGGAAAAGTTCCGGTCTACGTGGTCTATGGGTCCTGGGTTGAATGCTTTGATTTCGATGGAGGGGAGTGGTCTACACAATGGACGACGATAATGTCTTCAAGGAGGACGGCAGAACGGGGAGCCAGCGGCAAATACAGTTCCCTCACCCACCATCCTCGGGTATGTTTGGTTTCCTTTATGAGGGCCATTCTTAAACCCCTCTGTAAGCCCCCTCCCCTCGCCGCCACCCCCCAGTATGCTCCTAGGGACTCTGGAAACTTCTCCAGAGACCTCCGGCCTGGTCCTCCCCTCGAAAGGACTGCTCCGCTTGTTTATCTGTCGGCCTCTTTGCCACCTCCTCTTTGGCCAGCCCATCAAGTCTAGCTGGATTCCTGACGTTCCTCAGAATCTTCACAGAGTTGCTCCGATCCAGCCCTCGGCTCCTCTTTATCTCAGGCCCCACACCCAACCCCTCCAAACCCTGCTGGCTCCATCTACAGAAGACTTACCAAATCCCAACCCTTCCCATCGGCTCCATTGCCCGGGCCGCGAAACAAGCCCCCTGAGCCGTGGACTGGATTTGTACAACAGCCCCCTAATGGAGAAGGGAAAAAGCTATTCGCCAGACAGGAGTTGGAGGGACCTGATTAAAGCGCAAACCAGGCTGTGTGTCTCACCAGCTCAGATCCCCTCCTGGTTCTCATCAGCGTCCCCAGGGCGTGGGATCTGCCAGGATCCTTCCACGGTCTCTCCAGTGTCAGTGCCTCTCACCAGCCTCCTCATGCCTTCAGTTCCAGCCACTCCCATCGCCGTGCTGTCCCTTAAATAAGCCCAGCACACTCCTGCCCCAGGGCCTTTGCACTCGCAACATTCTTCCCCAAATTAGCTGCAGGACTTATTCCCTCACCTCTTTAGGGCTCTGCTTAAGTCGTCACCTCTTCCCAGAACCCTACCTCGAGTTCCATATATAAAACAGTCAAACCCACCACCCCTGTGTGAGTAGGCCCTAGCCCACTACAATAATGCCCGCTCTCCTTGGCTCCAGTGTTCAGTACAATGCCTGGCACATAGTAGTTGCTCAAAAAAGACCTGCTGAATGCATAAATGAATGAATGAATGAATGAATGAATGAATGAATAAGCAAACGCATGAATACCTGGCGATTGGCAGGAGGCGGGACTTGCTGAACGGCTGTGGGTGCTGCTGGAGGGGTGTAGATGCTATTGGTGGCCAGCGAGACGGTGGCCAAGGGTGGGGCATTCCCCTGGCATTGTTCCCGCTTGTGGGTCATGAACGCTGGCAACAAGTTGAACTGCTTCTTACACTTCCCGCAGAGAAAGACATCTTCATCATCTAGGGTCACACCGTAGGAAGGGGCCGCCGAGGAAGACAGGGAGGGACAAGGAAAGAAATGGAGCAAGGATCAGTCCAAGGGTGTCACCGTGGAAAGCAGGTGGAAACGTGGAGCAGGTCCAGGGGAAAGGCAAACCTGAACACACACACACCCACACGTCAAATAGCAACTGTGGTAGTTACATCGTCTGGTGTCAATGTGGGACTTGAGAGGATGAAGCATGAAGGGGTGGAGTCTAGCCTGTCAGTCGGGTTTGAGCCAGGGGGGCCTCAACTCCTGGAGTTCCCCCTTGGAGGTGGGAGGTACTTCTCTCTCTCTACTCCCTCCCTGGAAGATGCCCTAAGACGCCCTGGGAGCTGGAGAAGCCACATGGACCTACCCTGATGCACTCAGACCTCTGGAGGCGGAGAAGCCACATAGAGACCCCTGCCAACGCTGAGATGCTTACAACGCCACTAGATCCAGAAGACTTCCCACCCACGGGCCTGTGGTCTTCCTGCATTTGGCATCATTGCATGTGTTTCATGAGTCTGAAGAGGACTTCATAGATTGGTATCGGACATATGGGCTCATATCAGACTTATGGACTTGATCTGGACTGAGCTGGGATGTTTTCTCATTCAATGATATACAATTGCTCTTGTATATAAACCTCTTTCTTATACATATGAGTGTCTATGGATTTGTTTCTCTAGTCCACCCAGACTAACACAGCAACTCAGCACTTCCTGGGAGCTGCTAAAATCACACAGGCCCTAGCAAGAGGGGGATCCAGCCATGGGCACCTACATTTTGAATGGTTAGAAATCAGGAAGCAGTCAGGTGGGTTCCTTTCAAAGTTGAAACATCTGAAATCTTTATCCTGATGAGTTTACCCAGCGTCCCCCAGTGGCACAGTGGTGACATGTTGGGCTGCTAAGTGGAAGGTGAGCAGTTCAAAGCCACCGGCTATCCCAAGGGAGAAAGACAAGGCTGTCCACGCCCGTAAAGAATGAACAGTCTCAAAAAGTCACAGCAGGGGCAGTTCTTCCTTGTCCTACAAGGTCGCTACGAGTCAGACATGAGGGCAGTGAGTGCTGGGGGGGGGGGCCTCCCCCCGCCAACTGCACTGCCCTCTACCAAGATGCCCCTCAACACAGCTCATTTTGTGAGGTTCAGCTCGGATGTCACCTTTCCAATGGCAGTGCCCACAGTTCCTTGTTCCGGGCCCACCTCCAATAGCCCAGTTTTCTCTTCGCCACCAGACTGTGAGACCCATCCGGGGAGGAACGACATCCCCTTCATTTCCTGGGTGTGGAGGAAGTCCCCCAGGGCTGTGTGTTAAGTGAATGAAAATGTAAATGAACGATGAGCTCCTTGCCAGGTAGCCCAGACACTAGACAAGTTGTGGCTCAGGATCCAGTCTCCCCTTCTTAGAGGTTCTTGTTGAGTGCCATCGAGTATATTTTCGATTTGTAGATCCATTTGCCCCCTGGCCTCTTCTAAGCGGTCATCTTTATGAACATCTCGCCAGGACTTTCTCCTGAGAGCCACTTGAGCCTTTTGTTAGCCAAGGAGCACTTATAACCACTGTGCCTCCAGCTGCTTCCCTTCTTACAGGTCCACCCGTCGTTGTCCAGTCCATGAGGGCACTGAGCGACCCGGTCCGGTCCCCATAGCATTTCCAGGCTGTACATCTTGACAGAAGCAGACGACCCCGCTTGCTCTTAGAGAGCGGTTGGTGGGTTTGAACTGCTGATCCTTGGGGTTAGCAGCCAAGCACTTAACCACTGTGCCACCAGGGCGCCCTCTGCTGTATGTGGAAAAACCTGCATTAAGGCAATCTTCAAAGCGGCTCGACAGGACAGAGTACAGCTATTCACAAGGCTACTGTCCTCAGAGAAACAGACTGTGTCCTCCGTCCCTTGTGGGGCATCGGGTGGGTTCACACCACTGACCCTTTGGGTGAGCAGTCAAGTGCTTAACCACTGCACCACTAGGGCTCGCTCTTCTCAGATTTGTGAAAAAAAGAGTACCACCATCGAGTCAACTCTGGCTCATAGCAACCTTACCGGACACAGTCGACCTGCCTCCTTGGGGTTTCCAAGGCTTGTGGAAACAGACGGCAGGACGGCTGGTGGATGTGAACTGTCAACCTTTCAGTTAGTTGTGGAGAGTTTAACCTGCAGCACAAGGGCTCCCCTTGTTCTTAAACAGCATGACAACCTGTAGTCAGAAACGTAACTGCCTAACAAAAGACGTTTCCCAGCCTTCCGAGTGGGACGGATGAAGTGAGTCTGGCGTATGCCAAGCAAGTAGATGCAACCTTCCCTTAAGAGAGGCGTGACCTCTGCGTCCTCCTGCTCTTCAGCTGCTGGCTGGACCGAATGAGGGCATGAACGTGGAAGCTCCAGCACCCTCCTGTGGCAGGCTGACGGCAGCAGGCTGCAAAGCTGGGTCTCCCAAACCTACCTTAGATGCACATCACGACTTTCAGGGGACAGAGAGACCAGCTTCCGTCATAGACAAAGCACTCGTTTGTGTTTCTCAATGACGAGAGCTGAAGCCAGACCCCAAATACGCTCTGCAAGAATCCTAGCAGGCAGCTATCTTATAAATGGGGAAACCGAGGCACGGAGAAGTGAACTCTCTTACCCAACGTCCAGGGACTCTGGGAACAAAGATCCACCCCCAGGTGTGGTTCCCAGGACGTGCTCAAAAAAACGTCTGAGGAATGACTGAATGACCACATGGACTCCCAGGGGGGCTCCCACAGAGAGCCCCAGCCCTCTCTGTGTCTCAGGCACACCTGGCCCACAAGTTGGAGAGATGCATGCCCAAGCCACTGCTTCCACTGAGAGGCGGAGACATTACTTCAGATTAAAGGTACACAGCCCTGCTAGGTCCCAGGGGCACCCAGTCATTCCCCGGATGTCCTGATTCCAGCCCCCTGCAGTCACCAGGCAACGCCGGGAAGGCGCTCCTCGGAACTCAGCAGAGAAAGAACAGCATGAGCCTCCTAACCCACACCGGAAAAGGGCCACACCCTAGAGGCCGTCCTGGGGATCCAAGAGGGTGGCTCACTCTTACACCCCGCCACGAGCCCCACTTGCTCCTCACAAGGTTCCTTGCTTTCCTTCTGCTGACCCGAAACTGGTTCGACTCATTGTCTGTTATCCAGCACAGCTAGAAGCCCCACGAGTGGAGCGTTTTCACCAAGAGAAATGTGCTTTCTTTCTCACAGTTGAGGAGGCCGTAAGTCCTAACGTGTGGAGCCGGCTCTGAGGGGAGGGCCTTTTCCGATTCTGTTTCTTGGTTCTTTGAACATGGCATCTCTCTTCCCTCAACTTACTTTTTAAGATCATTGTGTTGGTCGCTCCCTCTCCTTTTTATAGGTCAAAAGAAACGGATTGAAGGTACCCCAAACCACGCCCACGCCACGTGACTCATAGCAACCCTACAGGACAGAGCAGAACTGCCCTTGTGGGTCCCCAAGGCTGTACATCTTTATGGGAGCAGACAGCCTAATCTGTCTCCCAAGGAGAGACAAGTGGCTTGAACTGCTGACCTTGTAGGTAGCGGCTCAAGGTAACCCACGAATCCACCAGGACTCCTGGTACACTTACAGTGCTGCAGTAGAATCATAACAGGCCCTTCCCAAACGGGATTCGAACCACAGGTCTCGGGATGAGGAGTGACGATGACACATATGTTGGGGAGTGGACACAATTCAACTCACAGCACTCACCTAGGGGCTGGATGGCAGGAGGCGCGCTGACGCTCTGGCCTGTGGGATCGGGAACCCCTCCTTGGCCATCTAGTAACGACTGGACAGCCAAGACAGTCTGGTTGTCCATCCCTGGGGGAAAAAAGCACACTGATTGGAAGGCAGGCCCAGGACCCATCCCCAACTTGCACTTACTGGCCAGCGCCACTGCAAGACCTGGCGGCAAAGAAGGCGGGTGTGCCCAATACACCTTCCCTTCTACTTCCATTAGAGTAGACCCCGAGATTTGAGGTTGGAAATACAGTTTGAGAATCCAGATGAAAACACTTTATTGCAGCGAGGGTGACAAAAGTTCTGGCCAATGGGACGTCAGTAGAGGTGCCGAATGGCAACTTCCGGAAGTTGTCTTCAAAGTCACATGGTACATAAGTTTCTTCTTTGTCCTAACCTCTTTCCTGCTTCCTGGAATGAGAATGTGATGTTAGGAGTTCAAGCCACCACCCTAGGCCACGAGGGCCACACCATGGAGCCCACAGAGTCAGAAGCTGAAAAGATCTCAAGCCTCTGAGAACGTAAGCCATCCTTGGAGTCCTGGACTGCCTTTCTCTGGGCTTCCGAGAGACAACTGACGTCTAGTCTGCTAGGAATTGGGGTTCTCTCGTACATGACTGACTCTAATTGTAAGAGATTCTCACGGCCCCTGCAGAAACTGTGTTACCAACCCTCTTTCATTTATATCCACAGGTCCCATGAGCCTGTTCCTATGGGGCATCCTGACTTCTGTTTTCCCTAAGGTTTTCTGGTCCTCTCTGTTCCTTAACACACAGCATAATTTGAATTTACGGGTGGAGGACTCTCGAGAAGCTGGGTTCCAGGTTGTGGTAGCTACACAATGGGGTTGTCTGGGACTAACGAGGCCCCAGCTGGTCTGTCAGCTGAGATGGCCACACAAATAAGGCGAGACCAGCAGAAAAACCACTGAGTTTGAGCCCGGCCCAAATTGTAGACCCATAGAACGGTGCACTAATACATACTTGCTGTTTTAAGCCACTACGTCTTGAGATGGTGTATTACACAACAGTAGATAAACTGACCAAGTGAGAAACAAATCACAGCCACTGCCATCAGGTTGATTCTGACTCATAGCAGCCCTATAGGACAGAGTAGATCTGCCCCCCTTTGGATTTCGTAGGCTGTACGTCTTTATGGGAGCAGAAAGCCTCATCTTTCTCCCTTGGAGCAGTTGGTGGGTCCTAACTGCAGATCAGGTGGCTGGCAGCCCCATGGCATAACTGGCAGACAACGCCAGATCTCTCTGTCCAACCCCCAATCTTCCACTGCAAACATCTACCTACTTCCGTCCAACCCCCAACCTTCCACTGCAAACATCTACCTACTTCCGTCCAACCCCCAACCTTCCACTGCAAACATCTAACTACTTCCGTCCAACCCCCAACCTTCCACTGCAAACATCTACCTACTTCCGTCCAACCCCCAACCTTCCACT